AAGGCAACTCGAGCAAGAGAAAGTCCCTAGACAAAGGGAAGCAGCCTGCCAAGGTTTGGAAGTTTACCGGAACTTGTTATAATTGTGGAAAGCCGAACCATATGGCTAAAGACTGCAAGAGGCCAAAGAAGGCTGGGCCAAAGAAAGGTAAACCGAGTGCCCTTGTTGCTGAACACGGCCCTGTGCCGGGTGAACTAACCGACTTTGATATGTCGGCTGTGGTGTTTGAAGCCAATATGGTAGATAACCCAAGGGAGTGGTACATCGATACTGGTGCCACTCGTCATGTGTGTTCCGATAAGGAGGTATTTTCTAAATACACTCCTGCTAAGAGTCGGAAACTTTACATGGCAAACTCCGCCACGGCTGATGTGGCTGGAGTGGGCACTGTGGTGCTGAAGCTGACTTCTGGAAAGGAGTTGAAGCTTAAGGATGTTCTGCATGTCCCAGACATCCGCAAGAATTTGGTCTCCGGATCTCTTCTTGTTGAGCATGAATTTAGGCTGGTATTTGATGCTAAGAAATTTGTTCTTAGCAAGTTTGGAACTTTCCTTGGTCGTGGCTATCTCGACAAGGGTATGTTTAAAATGAATGTAATGGCCGTGAGCCGTGTAACCGTTTTAAATGATAATGAAAAGCCTATTTCTGTTTATACCGTTGAGTGCTCTGATTTATGGCATATTAGATTGGGACATGTAAATCGAAATGCAATTAAACGGTTGATGAATTTAGAATTAATTCCTAATTCTAAAATTGAATCACATAAGAAATGTGAGATTTGTATTGAAGCAAAAATGGTTAAGTTGCCTTTTCACTCGGTGGAAAGATGTACTGAACCATTAGGCTTAATCCATACTGATGTATGTGATATGAAAAGTGTGCAAACAAGAACGGGTAAAAAGTATTTTATTACTTTTATCGATGATTGCACAAGGTTTTGCTACTTATATTTATTAAGAAGCAAAGACGAGGCTGTGGAAGCATTTAAAATTTATAAAACCGAAGTTGAAAATCAACTCGGCAAAAGGATTAAAATAATCCGAAGCGATAGGGGTGGGGAGTATGTAGCTCCTTTTGAACAAATATGTTCCGAATATGGCATAATTCATCAAACGACTGCCCCTTATTCTCCAAAGTCAAACGGTGTTGCTGAACGCAAGAACCGTACTTTAAAAGAAATGATGAATGCCATGTTGATAAATTCAGAATTACCTCAAAACATGTGGGGGGAAGCTGTTTTAACAGCAAATCATATTCTGAATAAAATACCACCTAAAGGGAAAGATGAGACTCCTTACGAAATGTGGAAAAATCGTAAGCCGTCTTATAAATACCTGAAGTGTGGGGGTGTTTGGCTAAGGTTTCAGTACCGGAACCCAAACAAATGAAAATTGGGCCAAAGACGATCGATTGTGTATTTATTGGATATGCGTACAATAGTACAACATATAGATTTCTGGTTCATTAATCAGAAAATCCAGAGGTATCTGTTGGTACCACGATTGAGTCGAGGAATGCTATATTCTTTGAGAATATTTTTCCTCTGAAGGAAAGAGCAGAATCTAGTTCTAATAAACGAATGTATGAAACTGCTAGTGGTTCTGTACCAGAGGGTACTGATGAAGAACCAAGACGTAGTAAAAGGTTAAAAACGGCGAAAACATTTGGACCTGATTTTATTACGTACATGTTGGACGATGAACCGAGCTCCCTTAAGGAAGCTCTGTCCAGCCCTGATGGACCACTCTGGGAAGAAGCTGTAAATAGCGAAATCAAGTCCATTATGCAGAACCATACTTGGGAGTTGGTTGGTCTCCTTGATGGTTGTAAACCTTTAGGATGCAAGTGGATCCTAAAGAAGAAATATAAAGCTGATGGATCGATTGATAAGTTTAAAGCACGTTTGGTGGTAAAAGGCTTTAAACAAAAAGAAGGGTATGATTTCTTTGATACCTATTCACCAGTTACGCGTTTAGCGTCGATAAGAGTGCTTCTCTCGATTGCTGCTTTGCACAATCTTGAGATTCATCAAATGGATGTCAAGACGGCATTTTTAAATGGTGAATTGGAAGAAGAAATATACATGGAACAACCTGAAGGGTTTGTTGCACCTGGACAAGAGAGAAAGGTGTGTAGATTGATCAAATCCTTGTACGGACTGAAACAAGCTCCGAAACAATGGCATTTGAAATTTGATGACGTGATGTTGTCAAATGGTTTCAAAATCAACGAATGTGACAAATGTGTTTATGTCAAGAGTACATCAAATACATTTGTGATTTTATGTCTATATGTAGACGATATGTTGATCATGGGGAGTAGCCATGAAGTATCATGGATACGAAAAGAATGTTGAAAAGAAATTTCGACATGAAAGATATGGGTTTGGCTGATGTTATTCTTGGAATAAGGATTATCAGAACCCAGGATGGACTTGTCTTGTCACAATCTCATTATGTAGAGAAAGTGCTTAAGAAATTTGATACCTATGACGGTGCACAATCTAGGTGTAAGACACCCATTGATCTCAGTATAAATCTGGTAGTCAATAAAGGTCAACCAGTGGCTCAGTTGGAATATTCACGGATAATAGGGAGTCTGATGTACTTGACGAATTGTACACGACCAGACTTGGCCTATCCGGTGAATAAGTTGAGCAGATTTACGAGCAATCCCAGTCATGAGCACTGGAATGCTTTGAGAAGGGTACTTAAGTACTTGAGGTACACCCTTGAATACGGGCTAAAATACTCGAGATATCCAGCCGTACTAGAAGTGTACTGTGATGCAAGCTGGATATCAGATTCGAGAGATTCTCGCTCCACTAACGGATATGTTTTCTGTATTGGGGGAGGTGCAGTTTTGTGGAAATCCACAAAACAAACGTGTATAGCTCGGTCAACGATGGAATCGGAGTTCATCGCTTTAGATAAAGCTGGTGAAGAAGCCGAGTGGCTTAGAAATTTTTTATCCGATATTCCATGTTGGGATAAGACTTTGCCGCCTGTGATGATTCACTGTGATAGCCAAGCTGCTATAGGTAGGGCGCAAAGCAACTTGTATAACGGTAAGTCTAGACATATTCGTCGTAGACATAATACTGTACGCCAATTGATCACAAATGGTGTTATTTCCATTGACTATGTGAAGTCTAAAGAAAATTTGGCTGATCCTTTGACGAAAGGATTGAATAGAGATCAATTGGTAGTTTTGCTAGAGGGAATGAGTTTAAAAATCCACAATTAAAAGAATGATCATAGTGGTAACCCTACCATGCTGAGTGGAGATCCCAAGAACTTGGTTCAAAGGGAAAACTAAGTTATGAAAATTCAGTTGAGCACTTGGAACATATGAATGTCCAAAGTTATTCCCTAGAGCACTCCAAGTGCTGATGACCTGTTGATTGTGGTGAGGGTAAGTCATATGGACTTTTAATGAATCCCTAACCTTGTAAATGTGGAGTAATACATGATACTCTTGATAGGGAAGTCATCTATATAAGTGTGAAGTGTGGGCCGCTTCAAATGTAAACACTTATGAATCCAAAGTGATGTCCATGGCCAAAACGGACACAACGATAGAACGGAATGGAGTTAAGACTATATTGTGTGAATGTCATTGTCTTGGTGTACACTATGGAGGAATAGTTCAAGGCATTATGTCCACTAGGCCGCCAGTGCATCCGATGATATTTACTACGAAAGGTTCAAAGCCAAAAACTACATTTTCTAATGCAATAGAGTTTTGTGAGGATTGAGCACAATAGTATATATATTTAATTTACACTTTTGTGGGGGATTGTTGAGAAAAGTGTAAAGGGGCGGCAGGTGCGCCGCCCCCACTTGATTAAAAAAAATAAAAAATAAAATAAAATGAAAGTGATAGGAAATTGCTGGGGCGGTGCCACATGCAGCCACCCCATATGCTCTTATTAAAAATAAAATAAATGAATAAATAATAAATAAATTATTTGCAATTTGATGGCCAATTGGCCAACTTTTCACCCTATAAATAGGGGAGCTCGGGCAAGAGTAAAGATGCACAAGAAAAGGAGAGAAAAATAGAAGAAAGAAAGGGAGAAAGAAAGGAAGTAAGAGAAAGAAAAAATATTCCGTTCGAAAGAATATTTGAGAGATAAAAATAGAAAAAAAATTATCAGATTGATACTTTTATTTTTAAGTGCTCAATTCTCGACTCCGTTCCAGTTCGCCGGAGCTCGTAAATCTGGTGTGCTACAGATTTAGAGACGTTTGCCGTTGTATCTTTGGGGAAGTTACGCCTGAACCGTTAGCAACACACGGGGCGTATTTTTCTTGCGGAAAGAGTTTACTCGCCTCGGCTTTAATCTTTCGTTTTGTTTTTTAAGTTTTAATTTATTTTCAGTTGTAATTTATTTTTCAGTTCAATTGTAATTTTCTTTTTTAAATTATTTGTAAGAACTAAAAAATACATATCAGTTCGTAGGATTCTCGTGTAATTTGACACCGGTTGTAACAATATATGCAAACACCTGTTGGTTGAGTTCAATGATAATTGCTGCTAATTGTGCGAGGTTTTTTCTTATTTGTTTTTTCTCTTTTCCTGCAGTCTTTTTCTGTTTCTTTCCCCGTGTTTGGATGTCCACGTTTATGTGACGAACGTCCGCTTGTTATCGTTGAACTCATTTCTCTCGTGTTTGGGGCCGAGATGGCTGCAATTTAATTTCTCGCAAATATTGTGTTATTCTAATATATATCTCGTTCTTTCTGCTGAATGGTGACTTGAGACCGAACAGAGGCCACAATGTATTTTCATGACATTTTAGTTATATATATTGTGATAATATTACACAAGAAAAGTTTCTATTAATTGTTAAGTGTGCAATCCTGTTCTTTTAGCGTGGATGCTCTTCCGATGCTACAATAGCATTTTTGTATTTTGTTACTTGGAAGCACTTGTGTTAAAGTACATGTTAAAAACTCAACATGTAGTTTTTAATTCTAGAACAAGTAGAGAATTATCAAATCTGTTGACCCGGCCATTTATCTCCGATACTCATTTCGATCGAAAGCCCAAAGTAGGTTTGTTTGGTTTGGGAGATGTTTTTATTTGGGCTTCAAGCTGTGTCATATTTTCTTCACAATGTCAGTATGGTTTTGGTGAATTGATCATAGAATACAACACCCACCTACACATAGATATTAGGCCGATACTTTTTATGGAAAAACACAAGATATAAGCCTCGTCTCACTGTCTTAACCCTAGACTAGAAATTCTTGCCACCGTCTCCTCATTTAAGTTATTTGTTCATCCTCGAATCTTTCTATGGCCAAGAATTATGCATCGCTGTAAACCGCCTCATTTACAAAGTACGTCCTGTGTATTTCCTGGATCTATTTAGCTATGCCTCCTTTCTTCCTTACCTGCTTACAGTGACTCGTACAATTGAAGATCTTTCGGATTCAGATTTTCTGCCCCCCCTTTTTTTTGCCTATAGTCTTTTGTGTGAATATAGAATCTTTTGATTTCCTGCCACTCGCCAAGAATTAGTCTTGCATTCATTATAAATAATGTATATTTATATTAGTCCTGTATTCAAGTGAATCTCCATATCCATTCAAAGTTTAGTAGATAAACTATAGCCAGATTTTAGCAGGTTTCTGCGCAATAAACAATTGTGCTAGTAATATTTGAGCATTGACATTCATATTAAGCAACTATTCAAAATTTAGCAGCAGCTTATGAGAGATGAATTATTTCTGTTTGGTGTCTTGTGTGGTTCTCTGGGTCTTGACGTCTTGAAATGGCCATGCCTCCATTATAATTTTTTTGGTTATTCTAGTTTTTATTCTTCCTGTTTAATTTGGGAGGTTGCTTTCTTATGCATTTCACCAACCGAATATTTCTATTTTATGTCATTTCTGTTACCATAGATTCATCTACAACCTTTTTCTAGTATGTAAAAGGTCCCTCTGGAAGGCAACTGTATATCTGTGGCCATGAAGAGGTCCTTGCCATCTGATGAGCAAGTAGAGATTTCATCAGACGATTCTTCTTCTTCTTCTTCTTCTTCTTCCTCTGATGCAGACACTGATGTCTTTAGGAGCCAGCAGCTCAGTGACGAGCCTCCTGAATTATCTCCAGAAGGTATTTCAGTTACCTACTACTGACATTTTCCCCAAAACAAAAAGATATAACTGTGTGGTGTCCGTTCTGATTCCAATTACCTGTGTTTGTGTATTACCTTACTATGTTGGTGTTGCAGCATGTTCTGCCATTTACTGGAAAAGTATTTTTCGAACAGTTTGCAATCAATTTTAGCAGGGGATGTCTGCATTTTGCCTTTTAGTGTAGAATATTTTGTAGGAGGCCATTTCTGTTGCCGTATATTGTTATAATACATCTTGATTCTTTACTCAATGGAAGGAAGATGCCATTTATGATGTGGCTTTTTGTTTAATCTTGCATTACACTTCATTTCTTATGCTTGCATAACATAAGAAATTCAAAATTGTTCATGTTAATTAATAATAAAAAAAAAAAAAGAACAACAACTTAGTTATGGATTTCTTAGTCATTTGCCACCATTTAGTTTCTGGAGACATTGTACTGCATATTGGTCCCAATTATTCCAAATAGAATTGATTACGAAGGCTCATGTATAGTTATTCTGCAAAGTGGAACTGTCGGTGTCTATTAGCATTATGAGCAGAGTTTTTGTTCTCTGATAAGCATTCATAGACATTGCTTAGAATGCCCCAAGGATCGGATCCTTTGTTCCTCTGGTCTCAAAAGTGCTAAAATGCAGTATTTTTAGTATATAAAGTAATAAGCTTGAGTTTGGTCATGAGCAGCAAGCAATGCTGGCCCTTCTTAGTGCTGATAAAAAAAATCCCAGTGCTGATAAAAAAAAAAAAAAGCTACTTTCCTTTTGCATGTATTTTTCGCGTAATCCACCCAAAATGCAGCATGTCTTGGAAAGTGGTTTCTCCATTTTTCTTTTCTCCTTGTTTGTGTATTTGCTTGTTCCTTGCCAGAGTCCTTTCATAACCCCAAGAACCGCAAAATGCATGTTTCACATGGAAATTATTATTATTATTATTTTTTCCTTTCACGGTGAATATCCCATGTTTGAATTGCAGTATGGCTGTTGAGAAGAGCAGAAAGCTACCAAGAGTACATGAAACTGATCCCAATCCCGACTGAACGAGGCACGGTTATACCCTTCACCTCATGGACTGGCTTAGGCAGCTCGATCAAGCAAATTTACGGGCAGCCATTGCACTATCTGACAAATCTCCACTTGAGCCGTATGGACCATGAAAGGCTTGGTGCCGAAGATACAGGTGTCCCTTTGTACATGACTATTCACCCGTGCAAGGCTGAGGCTAGCATTTGGATCATTGAAGAGGCCCACCGGCTGACATCATCGCCACATCATTTGGTCAGACTGTGGGAGGCTGATACGTACTATCATGTCTACATTGACGACATTTTCCCCAAGCTGAAGGTGTGAGGTGGGTCCCGGGCTACGATGTGACCTGTGTGATGGTGTTGGATTTGTTTCTTGGGTAAAGCTGGATTTGGATTTTTGAATGGACTGTGTTTGTTTTAGCGTTTGTTTCTGGATTGAGATTGTCTTCTTTTTTGTCCTGTCTTTTTGTTGGGAGTTGTTTGAATATCATCTTGATCCGGTTTACTCCTTAAGGTATATTATCCCATATCACTGTTGTAGTATTTTGCTAATATTTGGAAGTATTTTGCCATGGATGATGAGGGTTGAGTACCATTTTTCCAAGGCCGGGGGCAACAGCCCAGGGCCCAATCAGTGGAAGGGGCACCAGCCCATACGCTACTCTCCCTATATGCATATTACTCTTGGTTGGTTGGTTTACTTTCATGAATTAAATAAGGTAGAGGCCTTGTTTGGTAATCAGCGGTTAGATGTTAGCTGATTGCATTAGCTGTTTTGACCAGCGGATTGCGTTAGCTATTTTGACCAGTTGATTGTGTTGGTGGTTTGTAAAAAAGTGTTTGGTAAAATTAGCTATTTTTAATTAGCTGTTAACATGTAAAATTACTTATAAGGACATCAACATACTTGAAAATAATTTTTATGTAGATATTTACTTATAAGCACATCAACATACTCGTTCTTATACCATATTTTTTTTTTCTTTCGGATACTAAATAAATTTCAATTTTATTTTAATAGAAGTAATATACTTTTTCTTCTATCTTGTTCGAGCGTCCGTTCTACTTTCAAAATAGTTTTGTTTTAGTTGTGTTTTTTTTTTGGACAACGCATCTAACTCGTTCTTATACAATAGAATTATTTTTTTCGGATACTAAATAAATTTCAATTTATTGTAACGAAAATAAGATACTTTTATTATATCTTGTTCGACGATGTTTGTTGGCGTCTGTTGTACAATCAAAATAGCAGGATTTTACTTTTTTTTTTCGACAATACATCCAACTCGTTCTTATACCATATATTTGATTTTTTTTTTCTTTCAGATACTAAAGTAATTTCAGTTTATTTTAACGATGATAACATACTTTTACTTCTTCTTGTTTGATCAATGTTTGTTGGCGTCCGTTCTACTTCTATCTTATTCGAGAAATTTTTTTCCGAATACTAAATTAGTACCATTTTTATTTTTTACATGATATAGAGATAAGGGATGGAATTCATCTATTATTATTATTATTATTATTATTATAATTATTATTTTCTCTTAGGGCGTGGCTTTCTTCAAATTTCTGAGAATAGATTTCTCAAAAAAAAATAAAAAATGGAGGCATTGTTATTAAGGGAAAATAAGAACTTTCTATTTTTATTTTATTTAATTTATTTATTTATTTTTATCTTAGGGGGTGACATTTTTTAATTTTCATGGGTATGGATTTCTTAAAAAAAAAAAGAAAAATGGAGGCATTTAAGGGCAAATGTGAACTTTTATTGTGTTCCCTTCAAAAGCCAATTGAAAACGCTGCAAGATGTAGCGTTTCAATTTTTAGCTTTTGAGCACCAAAAAGTCAATTGCAAAAGCCATTTACCAAATAAAAATTTAGCTNCGGTCATTGAATCGGGCAATATAGTCCTTCAGACTTTCATTCTCGCCCTGTACGATGTTGGAGATTGATTCTTTGGGGGCGAGATTAACCTGCGACCCGATGAAATGAGATCGGAACGCCGACCTGAGCTGGGCCCAGGTTGAGATGGAGCGGGGATAAAGGGAATGGTACCACCTCTGCGCCTTGGGCCCCAGCGTCAAAGAGAACATACGGCAGCGCAGGGCATCGGAGGCGCCGTGAAGGTCCATCCATGAGGTGTAAAGGCCGAGGTGCGAGTCGGGATCCGAGCTCCCGTCGTAGAGGCCGAGCTGGGGTATTTGTATTCCCTTCGGGACGGCCTCCTGCAGGATATCGAGGGAGAGGGGTGAGGCGTTATCCGCGACCCGAGGGGTCGGTCGCGTGTGGGTTTGTTGATGACCTGGGAGTGAAAACTCGCTCCCGGTGAGCTGCCGACCTTCCAATTCGGCAACTCTGCGTTTGAGGGCCGCGACTTCCTCAGTGTCGTGGCCGATGGCTTTGCCTCATCTGATCACCTCCCGGAGATCGTGGTTGGCGTGGCTCTTGTCTCCCAAGCGTTGGTGGACAGAGCGACGAACGACCGGGAGGCTTCGCTCTGGCCGGCTCTCCCCCGTCTGCTCTGTGGGAGTCGGTCTGGTACTCTTGTCGCGACGGTTCTGAGCCTCGCGGTTCGGCGATTGAGCCGTGGTTTTGGATTTTGCTGGATTTCTCTGCCCCCCAGTTTCTTTCTCGGGGGTATGGAGTAGGGTGTTACCGGCGTTTTCCGTGGGCGGCACGGCGTTTGCCCCGGCAGCCTGGCTGGCTAGGGCTCGAGCGAAGACCCCCTCAAGGGCCTTAAGGACGTCGGGATGCTGCAAAGTTGCAGCGAGCGTAGGAACTGGGGGAACAGGGACTATGGGCCCCTGCTGAACGCGACGGGAAGACTCCCCGCCGTTGCGGCGGCGAGGCTGGGAGCCGGACTGCTGGGTGGAGTCGTCATGTCCGGATGAAGGCATTTTTAGTGGTTTTTAGAAATGAAAGGGTGAAAAAAGATGAGTGCGATGTGTGTAGCTTCACAAGATCGAAAAATTGACACCAAGTAACTTATGGTGCCCTCCTTCTAGCGCCAAACTGTTGACGGACGTTTCCGGTCAACGGTTAAAAAGTCAAGTAATAGAAAGGAAAATGAGAAAAAGACGAAGAAATGCGGTTTAATCACGGTTTTATTAACGGGTCACGAGGTCGGCCTCTCGTACGAGGTCGGCACTTGTGATATACTTATGCTGTTTACAAGGATTTCTTACAAGTTCTTTAGAGAGAGAAAATATGAGCTCGAGTAGTTGGGATTCAACAACCCAAAAATAAATGAGGGGGTTGCTATTTATAGGGGACTTTAATGCGGCACTGTTTGGGTACTGTTCAACGATCTTGTCGTACAGTAGCCCAATGGGACAAGCCGGCGCTTCTCTGACTGATTGGGAGTGATTTCTGGATTCTCCAATCATTACATGCCATACATTTAATGCGAACGTGGGCTGCATTAAATGCGGACACGTTCCGGCTGAGTTGGACGTCCCATCGGCAATCATTCGTAGACAAGTGGCACTATTTTATTGTATTTGAGATCGAGTTTTTTATCCGGGGCCGTCCTGATGAGACTTCGGACGGGGTGCCGACCTCATATCTTTACGTATGAGATGCCGAGTTCGGGGTCTGTTCCTCCCGCCGTTCTGGACGACTTTGACTTTAGATCGGCTCGGCACCCATGTGCTACTTTGTTGACCGGCACCTTTGACTCGGCCGGTCATTGTTCGGTTATTGATATGTCGGACCGACACCTCTTATTGGGGCCGGACTCGGATATTAACAACTTATATATACTTTATTCAATTGAAGCAAACTGTACAGTGTATGATTATGAGGCCATATAACTAGTTTTAAGCATAAATGTAGCTAAAGTAGCATGAGAAATGTTGATTAAACAAAAAAATTGCACAGTTTGTTATATTTTGAGAAATTTTACTTAACATTTTCATCGCCCGGTAGGGGCATTCTTATATATTCGGTCAAATTATTAGAAATAATGCTATATTATAATGATAACAAATGCCGTTTTATTTTATTTTGATCCTTTTCTTTCTTCTCATATTAGTGAAAAAATATTGCAAAATAACCTATAAAAAAAGTGATTAGGATAATATGGAATATTAATAACATCTTTTAACAAGACTGATAGTTAACATGTTTAGAAATTAATAATATAAAAATAAAGAACAACTATTCGTTAACGGTGGAAATCCGTATAGTTTCAATTAAAAAAAAATCTCTATAAATATATAAATTAAAAATGAATTATATATAAATGGCTCGTAATTTTCTCAACTATTATTATATATATAATAATAGTATTGCTATATTATATATATAATATTGCTATGTTATATATATAATATATTAGTAAAATTATAATTATTAGTGTAATATAAGTTGAAAAAATTATATAGGTTTGTATATCTATATAATAAAAATTTGTAATTATGTAATGTTGTGTTTAAGAATAATTACTAAATTGAATTTAATAATTTTTAGGCTGATGGAACTTGCCGAAGACCCACCAATCAACAAGAGTGGGAATAGTTAATTATTGAGGGTTCTGGACCGCGACACACGAAGAGTCGCGTTGTAGATGCTGATGCTCGTCGGGAGAGGCAGGAGAGGGAGATTGAGGCTCGCATTATACAGATGGGTCACGCTGGCCAGGCTGGCAGTTCGAGAGCCCTCGTTCCTCCGATACAGAGTGGACAGCAGCCCCGCGGCTCATTCATGCCTGACAGTGCGATACCCCTCCCTCCGATACATGTTGCTCAGCAGCAGGATTATTCCTATGAGTCGGCACCCGGGAGTCGACAGTATGATGATGATGAGGACTATGCCCATTCATACAAGCAGGAGGAGGAGGAGCAAGACATTCCATCTCCTTCTCCACCACCAGCACGTGCTCGAGCTGGACGACGTGATCCTCCACGGCAGGCTGGGGGTCGTTATGCGGGCACTACACCCTCCACAAGTAAATATTTTAGTATTTATATGTTGTTTACCATTATATATTTTCTTATTTAATAATAGCATCCCATTGATACAATCACTCACATTATGTTGAACCTTAGGTGTAATAAAACTCATTTGCACGATTTTCATACCTAATTAACAATCGAAAATATGAAAATTTTTATAATCTTACCAACCAAATATCGGATATGTAATAATCTCAAAATAAGCATAATTTGAAGATACTGAAACTCATATTGATAGTAATTTGACGAAAATAAAATTCTAAAAAAGTCCACTATAGTTAGGAAAGTAAATTTCATTTGCAAAAAAATATTAGATTACAATTCTTATTTTTTTATAATCTTACCAATATTGGATATGTATATTAAAAGCATAATCTAAATATCCAAAACTATTTGCATTAATCTAATTAACAAATGAAACATAAATAAATTTCACTATTAAAAGACCACAGTGATTATATATCGGATAATATTTAATTAATAATATTAAATACTTAAATTACCAAACCAATCATGTTGTGCATAGAGAAGTGTTTAATAATATATAATTTTTTTGTGTACTTTGTAGTTCTTTTTTTTTCATTATAATCAAATGCTTAAAATTTAAGGAAAATTATTTAAAAATAAAGTTTAGAAAATACGTTTTGAGGAACAAACCTTACCGTGCAGCGCACGGGCAGTACACAAGTTTTTTTTTTTATTTAATAATAGCATCTTATTGATACAGGCACTTACAATATGTTGTATATTATAATACAACTTCGAGTAGCAAACGAGCTAAGAGTGAT